GTTGCACTTGCGCGTTTTCCAAATTTCAGTTCTTTAAATATTGATCAAGCTAAATGATAATACATCTTTAGCACTTGAATAGAAGCTTTCTCTGAGAAGCAATTTCCTTTTTATTAATTTTCTTGCTTCAGTGTCTTGATATTTCAAAAACACGTGAGGAGTTAACTATCTCATGTTAACAATTTATAATGCAAGTTCTACAGGACATCAATGTTGAAGTGATTTCGCAGACAATAGAAGGGTCCATCATTTCCCATGATTTTTCATTTTTTTTATCTTTTAAATCTACATGGTTCCTCCAAACTAAAAAGAAATCCACAGAGGAAAAATATTAGTATAATAAGGAACTAAATAGTGAAATTATCCTACACATTTATTTGAAATTCATGTGAAGGATTAAATAGATATAGTCTGCTTAGTACGTTGATAAATACAGGATTTTCCAAAACCAATCCCTCCCTCCCTCACTCTTTTTTATAGACGATGATGCATATTTCTAGAAGTTTAAAATTACTTTACACGTAGATGATCTCTCTTAACAAAAGGGATACCTAGAATAGGCTGGGCAACTGTCTACATCATCCTTCATTCTTTATGCAAAAATATTAGCCAGAGCTAATAATGTGGGTCATAATGGATGTACTATCTAAAATTTCCAGAACCAATTTTCTATGTTCCCACGAGAAAATTTCATTTTCAATGTCATATGTAGTAATTTAAAAGGTCTATTCCTTGCTTCTTTACCGAATAGACTAATGGTGAGCCTAATAATTCAACTGATTACCAAAGGGCCTCTAGCCCAATGGTATAACCTCCCTGTCCTCAAAGAGGAGGGGAGGGCTTCAAGCCCCAGCGTACCTTAATACAACAAGATCATCATTCTTCCTTCAATTTGCTTAAACAAAAGGGAATATATATGTGCAAAATTGGAAACAATAGCTAGAAAATCAAAATATACAAACACTTAAAAGACCGAAGAAAGCATCGTAATTACAAAGAGTACAGTCAAAAATACCATCAATGATAGGACAAAGCATGCTGCATAATCTTCTAGCCATACTCCTGATCCAAGAGGTTGTAAAACCAGAGAAGCGTCATAAGGTGTTGTATTCGGTTAAACGCATTTTATTATTCTGCATTATATAGCCTCTAAAATTGATACTATGCTACATAAAATCATATTCCCTTTCAGATTTTGGCTTCAACGACTCCAAATTTGAGTAGGCTAGTTCTTATATTTTATTTAGTTATTTATTTTTGGTAAATGAGTAAGCTAGTTCTTTTGTTTTCACAATCATAATTTTAAGCAAGCATAGCTGCAAACTGTTACCACCAAGGGATGTAGTCCAGTGGTATCTCCTCTACTTCTCAAAGTGGAGGTTGAGGGTTCAAATCCCATAGGGGCATCCACAGTGTCTGAGTTACTTGCCAAAATAATATATATAGATTTATATATATATATAGCTGCAAACTGTTCAGGGTTCAGATGTTCAACCCTCCTTGCATTCATTTGAATCAATTAGTGTTGTTCTTTCCCTGCAATAGCCCAAATTAGTTGGTATGGCAAAAGTAATAATAACAACATTAAACTGAACGAAAAATTAAAAAAAAAAAAAAAATGCTTCAAAAAATGGTTACGATCTAAAAAAATTGATTTGAAAATTATGGTGTATAAACAGGGGTACATATTGTCAATGCTGACAGAGTGCCCAAGAAAGAATTCCCTAGAATCAACTATAGATATATATAATGCATGTTATATGGCATCTTATTTTTGCCAGATTTTGTATCGTTCCCTTCTATTTTTGGAGCTTCTAAGTTTCCCTGCATTTCTGAGTTCCTATGAAATTTAGTTGCGTCAAACTCATATATATATTACGAATATTATTATATTATTAAAAGAAGGGTGCAATACAAGATATGAAAACTCATAATTTTTTTATTTTTTATTTTGATAAGTAACTCAGCAGTCCATTGCTTATGTAGAGAAGAAAGAGTGGTGATGTTGAACAACAAAGAAGCTCGCATTACAGCAACAAGAGGTACATCTCCTCCTCGAGAAAGTACTGAATACCCTGGGGGTATGGTACCCTGGGGCACTGGCAGCCCTTGGATCATGGATGTGGTGATAGGCCCCACCACATCCAAGGGCTAGGATGACCCCGGAATACGCCGCCTTATTGATTGCACCATTCACATAGACACAAAAGACATGGATGTGGAGTCTGGTGCCCGTGTAGACACATTGCACTCAAGTGCTAGAGTAGCATCCAACATATAATAACAAAATCATCATGTAAAAGCATTTAATGGTTGAAGCCAGTAAACTATTGTGTTTATAAGGTTTCATAGAGAAAGAAGCTTATGTAAATTGGTGCAACAGTAGTACAAACCACATTAACAACAATTACCCTACATCTTCCATTATGACTTCATTTTATTTCAGATTTATCTTTTTGAAGATCAACTCATTTAAAAACTTAAGATGCTAGAATGGATTTAACTCAAGTATTTATATCATTAAAATGTCTTGTTACATGTGGCCAAACTTCTCCAGAAGTGAGCCAAGATGTGCATGAATTACAATATAAGAAACACATACACTTCTACAAGGTGCCTTGTTTGTGTCCAACACCATGTTGGACCCCGACACTAATGGACACTCCTAGACATGCGTCCGACACTTCATGATCGTGTCCAAAATTTAAAAATATTTTTTATTATTTTGGACAGTTGGTCAACAAATCTTGAACACTTCACCAACACATCTCAAACACTTGAACACATTTCAGACACTTGACCAACACATATATTATATAAAACAAACACATGACAGCCTGAAGACAATATTATGAACATACATCAAGGTGTCAAACCTCTTTTTCTTTTAAAAAATGACATTAAACACGTCACTATAATGAACAAAAACATAACTATATTGACAAGATAGGCGAATAATATGATATGCAATATAATTATTATTTTTATATTCGAATTAGTTTCGTCTTCTAACATGTATAACTTTAGTATAAATGAATTAAAATTCTATACTCAATAGATATAGATATATATATATATATATTTATATTAGTCGTGTCCAAGCTGTATCCGTGTCTTACTTTTTAAAAATTTAACGTATCAATGTCTCCGTGTCGTATTGTATCCATGCTTCTTAGATTACAATTAAGGCGATAAGATTTGAACTCAAGCTCTTCCTGCTTTAATATCATGTCAACATCTAATATTCTAAAAGCTTAAGCAACTAAAGGATGTTAAGTAATTATGTTATCAACATGATCCCTTATGTGTAGTCAAACTTCCCTCCAAGGGAGCCTAACATACGTTCGCATTGACTATCACCACACATGGATGATCCACACTTGCGGGGCTGCACGTGAATTATTATTTGTTATGAACAACTCGTCCGAAAATATAAAACTATCAAAGATGGTGTAACTTAAGTACTTGTATTATCAACACATCTAAACTTAATGAACCATCAATCTAGAAGTTAGAATATTTATTCTAATTCAAATTACACAGTAGCAGCTGCAGCCCGTGCTTGACCCTAAGCTTTGATTTAAGACTCCCATCAATCAGCATGAAACCACACAAACATTGAAGTCAACCACATTCAAATGCCCATAACACTATAATAAATTCAAAAATTAATTTCTTCATAGTTCCATATAAAGAAAAACATATAACACAATTGGAACTAATTACATATTGTTTTGCGTGCTTTAACCATGAACAAATCAGATAGTATAGGAAATATCCCTTGTTGCCAAAGAGCCAGGTTCTATAGCTATTTGCTTCACCATTATTCTATAATAGCTCAAATTATTGGATAAGTAACAGCTTTCAGATTATTGGACCCAGTTCTATAACTTCATTTACTCCAGCTTCCTTTGTCATTCTAGAACTTATCTTTATTTTTTCAAACATTTGGGGGATCACTTGTAAGTTTCACAACGAACGGATTCGTTTCTATAGATATAGCTTGAAAAATAAACTTCTTGTTCGGGGCATTGATGTGTCTTTTACCAAACTTAATTAATTTCTCATAGCAGGATATCCCATGTAACTTCAAGAATTCAATTGTATAAACCAATGGTCACATTCACATATTCTGTTTGACAGTAAATTCAATTTTTTTCCCACCCTAAAAAAGTTGCACATATTTGATCTTTCAATCCATATCAGCTTAGTGGTTTTTCCCTACCTTCATATAAATATATTTTCCAGAGAGAAGTCATGTTCAAATGTTAATTATGCAACTTCAAGTTGAAAAAAATAAAAACAAACAAGCAAACACAATTTTTTTTTTTTTTTTTTTTGATAAGTAAAACCCAATTCACAATAAATTAAAAGAATTTTTTTATTTTTTTATCATGACAAGAAACAGAAAATTTTTTTTTTTAAATTTATAATAAATTAAAAGAATTGAATACTATCGAAACAATATTTTTTGGAAAGCTGCAAAACAATATTTCATTATAAAGAACAATACCTTATTCAGCCAACAGCACTTGAAAAAAATAAAATAAAAGCGATTAATAAAGTGACACTTGTGTTAAACAAATGAGCAATTAACAAAAGGAAATGGCAGAATCAATGTTTTAAGTGTGTGCGCAAAGAGACCCACATGAATGTGTGTATATACACATATACATATACAAAATAGAGAGAGAAAGTAATTGTACCACCGTTCGAAAGCTCCTTGACAGTGCGGAGTGCGGACCCAGAAAACTGATATTACTGTACGGCCTGAAAATTGAGTACTTGCTGTGCATGTCTAGGGTTGAGGGGGACAAGACACACATACATCATTGGGCGGACCCCAAAATTAGCCCACCCAATCAAGCCCAAGTCAACTCAGCCCACCATAGTAATATAAAGGCCCAAGCCCAGAGCCGGCCCTGACCCAATCATTTCAGCCTTCCCCAATCGCCTCCATCTATATTCTCGTTCTCTCTCTCTCTCTCTCTCTCTCTCTCTCACTCTCTCTCTGCAACTACAAACTTCAAAACCCATATCTTTCAGTTTCCATCGCCCGCTGTTCCAGTTCGGGTTCGCCGTTCGCAAGCTTCAGCCGCTGTCTCTCAACTCTCAAGCTTGCCCCACTCTCTCTCTCTCTCTGCAACTGCTAACTTGTATGTATGGGTTTTGTTTTAATTTTTTTTTCTAAATCAACTAATCAAGCTCTGTAATTCTTGTTTTGCAAACTAAATCCGATTTGGTGAAAAAAATTATGATTTTTTTATATATATAATTTTTATTTTATTTTATGAAAGACTAATTGGTAAGTTTGGGTTGAACTTGAGTCTTACCCACTCATTTTCGTGGCCGCGCCTTTTCGTGACACGAGTGTCCACTAGTAGAAGGCCACGACACACATGTTCCGGGGCCAAATAAACGACAAGTCTCGTATATATATAGCATATACGGCAACGGAACATGTATCTTCGAATGGCGAATCTGAGAAGAGCTCTGTTGTCTTCCATTCCCCGGATCCTTAATTCCACCGCCGTGTCTGGCCGGAGCTCCGTCACCACCTCTCCTCCGATCAGTTGCCAGACTCTTTACAGGCAAAGTTTCATCTATATAATAATAATAATTATATAAATGCCTGTTTGCCTGGGTAAGATTTTGTTTGATTGCTATTAATTTGCCTTGTTCTTTTGTTTCAGGCCTTTTGGTGGTTCTCTCTCGCGATTCTATTCTTCTAATCAATCGCTAGATATGGATCTTTCCAATGAAGAAAGCAAAAGGCGCTTATGTAACAGGTACTTAATCATTATGCATTTAAAGGGTCCAATTTGTGTATTTATATGTAAATTATTCAACTGATGATAGTTGATGTTTGTTTCTCTCTCTGCATATATATATATATATAATATAATATGTATTTGTTGTTTAGGCTGTTATACAGGAGCAAACAAAGAGGGTTTTTGGAGCTGGACCTAGTTTTGGGGAAATGGGTGGAGGATCATATCCATTCTATGGATGAAAATGGAATAAAGGCACTTGTTGATGTGCTTGACCAGGTATCGTTTTCTTATTGCACATTCATATCTTTGCCACTCCAACTCTGTTTCTTAAAATATTGGATTATAATTCAGTACTTGTTTCTAAGTTCAATTGGATCATGTTCGTAGTGATCTTGCTAATTTTCAATGATCTTTATGTTTCTCCATCTTTTGTTTGAGAATTATATCCTTATTTAAGGTTGAGAACCAGTGTGAAGAATTATTTGTCTAGAATAAGAGGTTGAACATAGCGACTCCGAATCTGTATGCTATCATCTATAGATGTTGTTGTATTAATGTAGAAATAATGAAATCCTTAAAATACATTATGATTTAACTCCTAAATGAATCTTTAACATTATAGGAGCACAAATAATGCCAAAACAATGTACAGATTCTGCCAAAATTATCTTACCCAATTTTAATCTCTTATTTTTTTCATTGTAAATTTGGTAAAAGGCATAGATGAAATTTATTAAAAATGAATTTGTTTTTATTTATTTATTATTTTATGGACTATTTGGATTCTAAAGTTTTGTGGCATGGGAATTATATTCATTAATTTTTCGATTCCATTATTTCCTTTTCTTCAAGAAACATGTATCATTAGCAGTGTTGTTCATTTTGTGAAACTTATTTATTTCTCAATTTAGTTTCATTATCTATTCCTATCCAATATATATCTTTCAGGTAGTATTTGGAACCCACCCACCATACTATGTTATTCTTAGAGGCACCATGTTTTATTAAAATTGAAGATATTTTATACTATTTATTAATTCAGAATGATGGTTGCTACCTAAGTAGAGAAAGAAACTGCTTTAGAAAAGCTTCATCGAAAAAATCTTAAAAGAAGTTGTGCCACCGGCATTCTACCTTTGTGAAGCATCTCCTTTATGCTTCGACCAAACCGTATAAACCACCATGTTTTGGGGACTATTATCTCTCATCTTGAACCACATAATTGTTTTTTTTTTCCTTTACGTTTTTTAATAAGTAATAAAATTTCATTGAAAGGCGCTCCTAAGGAGAACGCATCCCAAAACACAAGGGCCAACATGACCCACTATACTTTCAACCTATCCACAAAACTCAATATATCCCTCGAAGATTTGCAATGCTCACCTTGTTCCCAAAAAAACAAGGAGTTAAGAATAAGGAATTTGAGCACCCATATTCGAACCTTCTCTCCATCAAAGGAATGTTTGTACCGCTCTTGTCACAAGTATCTCGGACTTGCCTCCTCACTATATAACCTCTCCAAGCCTTGTTTAAGCACTTTGGGGACATTGGCATGACCCACCGAACGCTGAAGAGAACAAAAATCTGAAACTATATTGGAAGTATATTAGATGTATGCTTCAAAATTAATGAAGTTTCCGTATCAAACAAAACATGAAATGGGGTATGGGCTATGTCCCACACATCTTCTATTGGGCATAATACCACCCAAAGTGTCTGACTATGGATAGAAAAGCAGATTCGTGATTTCAATATAAGTGTTTTGGATTACATTCCTTAATTGTTTGACATTAGATGTATGCTTCAAGGAATGTAGTACCTTATTTCATGATCTTTATTGAATGCATAATCCACTTTTAGCCACCATATATATGAAGAGAAATTGTATACTGATAGTAATCAGTGCCCAAAATTTTAAACCTGACAAATCTTACAAAAAGTTCTGCAGCTACCATGCCTTACCCAATTTCATATAACATAGTATTAGACTGTGCTATATATTTTATATGTTTTTAGCATATTTTGCTTTTATTAGAATAAATAGCGAGTCCTAGCATATAGTTTCAATTATTTGTTAATGTCAATCTAAAGAACCTCATTTTTCGTTATTCTATAAATTCAATTTCTTCTTATAAATAGGCTTTTCTAGTAAGGATTTTGTTTGTTATGAGTGTCTCTATACAACATGAGTCAAACAAATTAATATGAATAAATAAAATAAGTTAAATGGATATACGTGTGTGTGTATATATATATATATATTCCCTTTCTGGAAGTTAAAGGAAACACACGCCCATACCCACACCATTCCCCTTGTGGGGCTCGTACTCTCAACCTCCCATGGGAAGGAGAGATCATACCATCCAGGCTAGATGCCCGGTACAATTGTATGGTTTTGGTCAGTATCTATGATTTGGATTCTTGAATATCTCAAAATTTAGGAAATGACCACTCGGGAAATAAGGACGAAAAACTGGTCATGTGTGTGTAAACACATCTGATCTTATCAGAAATGGTGCAGTAGTATTGTAACTCAATAAACAAGGCAAACAAATATGTAACTAATCTGAACTCTAAATACATCCTTGGGCTTGATGACATACGTACCCATGGCCCTATAATGTACCCTGAAGCAATTGATAATTATCCATTATGAAAATAATATATTAAAATTGTTTATAACTATCTATTGTAAAAGTGGAACAAAAAATGGCAATACTAACTAATACTGCAACACAGGCAGAACTTTGATTATCTTTCCTTCAAGTGTACAAGAAATCCTTCCAACTTGATATAAAAAGAATAAAGAGGACAATGCCACCTATCCACTCATAGGGGATTTTATTACAGATATCTTCAAAGAAAAAACGGTTGCCTTCTGTTGACGTTTGAGAGATTAGAGAACAACCCCAAATGGCATCCAGCCACGCCAACCGCCGTCTTATTTGTAATAGCAAATAAGTAGTAGTTTAGTCAGCTAGCCTCTTCAATTACTTCTAGACTTAATTTAGACATTTATAAGCGTTTATAAGAGGGTTATAAAAATTCACTGCATCATTTCACTAAATCTTATCAAACTGAAGTTTTGGAGTTTTGCTAACTGGAAACTCTCTTTACCTTCGATAAAGGTATAGTGCTGGTCTACCCTTTTGGTAAATGAAAACATAAAGAATTGATTTGAGAGAGAATGAGAGTGAGTTGAGCATGGCATAATTAATCGTACTTGCTCTATATTTATCTTTGGTAAGGCTATATCCTAAACCATCTCAGCAATGATTCTACCATTTTGATGATTAGAAACATAATGAAGTTAACTATATGAAAAGGAAACAGAGTCAAGGATATGGTCAAAACCTTATTAGCTTTGTCATCGTGAATAATTGATTGAAAGAAAAGGAATTTAAGTAAGAAGTGAAGTTTTCTGTTCATCTTTAATAGGGATGTGACCTAAATAATACTAACTTTGGCCTCACCCTTTAAACAATTGAGGTAGTTTGACTATAGGACTGTATATTTTGGATGCACAAGCTAAAAAATAAAAAAATAAAAAACAGGAAAGAACTGTTCAAAAGGTCTTTACATGTGCTCTCCTATTCTCGACAATACGCCAAAGTTGACCAAAACAACATCCGTTTGGTATGAAATATATGTCAATACTTGTGCTCAAATTTGGACACGGTCATCCACTACATGTTATGAAAGAAGAAGAAAAGCTCAAGTTTGATGACAGGAAAGGGTTTTGTACTTCTAATATAAATGAACTTTCCCCTTTTAACCTCATCCTATTTAATTAAAATTATAATTCAGTATACTTTTAAAGAACAACAATATCACTTGTTACACTATTTTTTTTTTTTGGGTAATTGATAATTTTATAAACCAAACGAAAACCATATTATGTTATTTACTATTAGCATGACAGGTTATGTATCTAAATGTTTAGGATGTGTCCATGTGCCCCTATCTAACTTTTGGACACATTTTAAACCTAGTCCACGTATCTTAAGATTTAGGGTACAGGAAGGTTGGGCACTTCGATGTATACTTGCATCTAGGGGTGGCGATCTTTGTTAATTGGTCATGTTCATGTTGTATTGAGATAAGAGTATTCTGTTATACGGGTCTTCCTGATCATGATTAATTTATTATTCGGGTCAATGTTATTAAAGGCTCAAGGCGCACCAAGGCGCTAAAGGTCCTTTGGAGCCTAGGCGCGTGCTTGAGTGAAGTGAGGCGCACAATTGAAATTTTAAACTGCCATAATAACATTTATATCTCACAAGTCATATCAATATTTTCTAAAAATTAATATCCAATATAAAAAGTAAATCCATCAACTATATAAGCATTCAAGAACCATAAAATATAGCACAAATTTGTTTTCTTGAAAGGCAAAACAGAGTACAAAAATATATAAATCTATTTAAAAAACTGTTAACAAGAAAAGAAAAAAAAATAGAGCCAAAAAAGAAAAAGAAAAAAGAAGTAGATGAAGACAGAGAAGTAGATGAGAAAAGATAGAAAGTGTTAAAGAAGAAAAAGGAGAAAAAAAAATAGGGCCCAAAAAAAAAAAAAAAAAAAAGACAGAGAGGAGAACTAGACGGAGAGAAAGAAGTAAACAAAGATGAGAAGAGAAGAGTAGAGGAGAAGAGAGAGAAGAAGAAGAAATAATTGACATGACTTCGTCATTCATCTCTGCCACTAGCTTCGTCGTTGCTCTCACAGTCTCACTCTTTCTATGTTCGGTCTTGGACTTTCTTATTTGTTTATTCTTTTGAACAAAAGATCCTTCTCTGATATGCTTAGGCTTTCTTATTTGTTTTTGAAGTTGCCAAAAGTACCCTTTTTGGCTTAAGAGATGGAACAATCATTTTTAAAAAAAAAACAAAAACAGCGAGGTGCGCCTAGGCGCACTGAGACAAATAGGACGAGGCGCAACCGAGGCGCGTGCCTAGTAAACATCAGTGAACCTGGGATGACAACAGGCGTTAGACCTGCGCCTCGAGCCTAAGCGCACGCCTAGGCTCGCCTTTTACAACACTGATTCAGGTCAAGCACCCTTTACATAAACACAATCCATTTATTAAATAGATAAAACAAAACGACCCTACTGATCTTGCTATATGCATCATGTGGAAAGTGCTTGGTGTCCCGAGTGTTAAACTTCAAGATGTCATAGTTCAATGTTTTTTCATTGTTCTTCTAGTGTAATTTTTTGGTAGCTCAATGCTGCTTGTATTGTAGTAGGGCTATGCCCTTGCTGCAAGCTGTTCTTGCACTATTAGTGCTTCTTCTGTTGTTTTGTTTTGCAGCAAGGGGCCCTTGCAGTTTGGCCTTGTATTTATTTTTTTTGATTTGTATAATAAAATTTCATTCAGGGAAAAAAAAAAATGACCCATTTATTGAACAAATAAAAAGATTGTCTCGTGTAACCTGTGTAATAATAGGTCGTGTAACCTAGAACATGACATACTCTATTTTTTTTTTAATAAGTAGAGCATGAGACTCTTTTAGCAACCTGTTTATTGTTTTTCTTAATTTTTAAATACAAAAATAACAAAAACTAATTAAAATATAGAATTAAAATTATGGATCACTATTTATCTTAATAAACTACACAATTAATCTCGAGTTTCACTATATTAACATACTAATCTAAATAAATTACCTATTATACAGGTTGAAATGATTTCAGGTCAATTAATTGAATGGGGTCAAATTGGGAAAAGCAGGTTGAGTTCCCGAATCCAAACACTACCGGTTTATGTTAATGGGTTAACCAGGCTGACACAATTATGATATAAGCCTTATTGAGGTTAATATAAACCTGCTAATTTAGTCATGTTGATTTCTGCACTAGTATACGTACCTAAGTATGGGTTAGCATTGCTAGATAGCAAGTGTTTTTTCTTTTCTATAAAACATGTATTTTTGAAGTTTATAATTTTGCAAAATAGTGGAAATTGGAGGATATCGTGGGTCTGTTGGAGATGCTGTACCGCCAGGAGGTGGATGGTGATGTGGTTGACTCTCGCGTGTGGGTGCTCTCTTCTCAAGGGAGATCTGATGTGCATTCTTTCTAAAGAGCCCTCTCAGATGCCCTGGCGGTTGCTTTCCCTTGAAAGTTGTGTGGCGCACAAAAACTCCCCTCTAGGTGGCTTTTGTTGCTTGGACAACAATTCTAGGGAGGATCCTGACCCTGGACAATTTGCGGAGGAGACATATTATTGTCAATTGGTGTTGCATGTGCAAGAGGGATGAGGAGTTGGTTGATCACCTTTTGCTGCATTGCCCTGTGGCTAGGGATCGCTGGGCCTTCCTTTCGCTTTGTTCGGCATGCAGTGGGTTATGCCTTGGTCTTCGTTAGGATTGGTTGAGGCTTGGATGCGGTGCATAGTGGGTCCCCAAGCCCGTGACTATTGGAGAGTGGCACCCTTGTGTGTGTGGTGGTGCTTATGGAGGGAAAGGAATAGGAGTCCTTTGATGGGGAGGATAATCCTATTTGGGCGCTGAAATTCTCTATTCTTAGTTCTCTTTTTTGTTGGGTTTCTGGGAGATATTGTAAATCCATCGGGGAGATATTCCCTTTCTCTTGCCACTCTCTCTTCTTTACTGGCTCCCTCTTGAAAGATTTCCGTAAAAAAGAGCATTGCTTGAAGAGTTTCATTGTCTCTTGGCTAAGCAAGGTAAAGAGGTTCTGCTTGGGAGTTGTTTCGTTCTTGCTCTGGATGGATCATTCGTAGCCTCTTCATAGTTGGCGGGATCTTGCTCTTCTAGGATTCCTCCTTTCTTCTTATCGGTTATTAGGCTTTCGTCTTTGTGGAAGATGGATGTGATACTCAATCAAACCTGGTACCGTCAAGCACTGGATAGTGATTTTTTGGACATATTGAGAGGCTGAAGCCTGAGGGGCCTATGAACGCTCTCTAATACAATCTTACTTATTTATTAAAAAAAAATAAAAATAAAAATAAAAAAATATAAAAGAAGAAGAAGTCAAACACAATGAAACACTTTTTAGAAAAACATCTTCTTTTTTCCTTTCTAAGGTTAGTGGATGGTTTTGCTCACTTTAAGGCGAACTTGGGGTGATTTTGGTATTCCTTAAGATTATGACAATATCGAGATGGAGAAAGCGCCAAAACTATAATGCATTCACAAAACTTATATCCTCGTCATCATCACTTAACAACACCACCATGGATGCTCACAGTGTGATAGTTTTAACTATAATGCATACACAACTTTTAGAAAGAAAAAAAAAGGAAGTAGAAGGAAGGATCATGAAAACAGATATTAAGAGCAGGAATTGATCTTTCTGAAGCAATAAAATTTTAAAAATGAATGAAAGAGTGCATTCTCCTTCCCATCTTCCTCTTTCTTCTCCTCTTCACTTGTGTTTTAGGGGATGTGGACTGAGAACTATGGGCTTGAGCTTGTAAATAGAGAATGTGTGTAAATGTGTGTTGCTAATGCGTTGGAGGAGTGTTTGTAGTTGATGGAGAGACTTCTAGGAATATTTTGATTCTTTGGAGGGTAAAAGGGTGTGATATATCATATCTAAAGTAAAATGATTGTGTAACTGTGGGCTGGGTTGAAGGTAAAAGTGGAAAATAAACACATGCCAGATTCATTTTCCTTTATTCATACGTGGAAAAGTTGGAAATGTTGAAGTCTGTACTAATGGGCTGGACCAATTTGATTTTGGTCTAGATGCAAGCTGTGAACTTTACGGGTTATATCTTTAGCCGTTTGGAGACAAACTACAGTCTATCCAGGTAAAAAATTGCCTTGGACACAAAATGTGTTGTATGCAAGAAAGCATGTCTGCTTCCATGCAGATCATATATTAAATTCAAATGCAACATAGTTGCATCTAAGTGAAATTCTTTTGGATGCAACTATATCAATTTCCTATTGAACTCATCTACCGTTGAATCGAACTAAAAGTTGTTTTGAGTCTGACTATTGAGAGTGAAAAGCAAAGCCCAATGCCATCTTAGTGTGTGATTTTGACTCTGTTACCTCGTCTTTTAACGTGATAAAATGGGTGCTATAGAATCACTTTCTTGGAGAACAATGTATGATTCGGAGCTGGAGTCTGTGGATGCCTTCTTTGAGGTCTTATACGGGGCGAGAGGAAGGATGAAATGAGGTGGATCCTGTGCAATAATAGCCAGTTTGGAATGAGATGTTTTACAGTGTTTTAATGGTGTAGATAGGCGATAATTTGTTTGTAAAAGGATATTTAGAAAGTTAATCTTTTTTGTTTTCTATTCGTTTCTTTGTTTGCCCCCCTAATGGCTAGTGTTCCTGGAGACTAATCTATGGATAAATTGAGGAACAAGGGAGTGTAGATTACAAATTAGTTTTGTGTTTGAAAGAAAGCTGAAGAGACCTTTAAGTATCTCCTTCATTACTAGGTGAAATGAGATCTGCAGTACATAATTTTTATTCATTTTTTTGGGTTTGCATTACGTTATGCCACGGTCTGTAAAGAATTTCTTGAATGCTGAACAAATGGATTCACTGATAAAAGTTTCTTTTCTTTTCAATGGGAATGATGGGCTACATAATGAGTAGTCTTTGCTACCAATAAAAACCTCCAACAAGAATGAAGGCGTGATATGAGCATAATGAGCCCATGTCTGTTGTGTGACTACTAAGAAACTTTACCAACTAAATAGAGAGTGTGGAAAGAGCAGGGTATGCATTCTTTTTGAGGTTGAGAAGATGATTATATATAGGATTAAATAGTGCATCTTCTATTGATTGATTAGATATATTTATATACAAGGTTACAATTGAGTGTCCTGAATTAAGGATCACAATCAAATCTCCTAAAAAGATCAATGATGTTAGATTCCAGTTCTTAGGACATTTCTTGGGCTGGATATTGGGTGTCACTTCTCAATCCTCATCGCTATACTATTCTCTTTGAATACTGGGGTCTTTGAATACTGCGGCGAACATGTCACACTGCAAATTAGATTGGTTTTAAACTGGTCATGCATGTTGAAGGATAAGAAACTACCCCATTTTACTATTAATCAAACTTTTGAAATGTCACTGAGATCAATTATGTTGTGCTGCGTGGATTTTTTTTCCCGGTTGCTGGTCTGTGAGGTTGAAATTGGACTCTGTTCTTATTGGTTTCATGTGGAAAGACACGACTTTGCAATTATTTCTGCTTACCTTTTTAGGCTTAACTATTGAAATGACTTTCTAATTGGAGTATTTTAGGAATTTGTTTGCCTTTTTTAGCACCTTGGTTCTGGGCTACATGTCATGGCTCAGTTTTAGAAATTGGACTATTTTCTTATTCAGATATGTTGATTGTTTGCAGGAAAACCCAAATCTCTGGAAGTGGTTAAGTGGCCAGGAGCAGCCCCCTGATGCATTAAGCATGAATCCTGTAAGACGGCATGATCTAAAAGAAAAAATTGCAATTTTACTCCTTTAGTTGTGTTTAGAAACTCTTTCAGTTGCATTCTCAAGTTCTTTTATTATGCTGCGGCATAGGTGTTCTCTGCAATGCATGAGAAGGTTATGAAGAATCTCAATAGCCATTCTGCTCCGGAGACACGGGCGACACCCGGGCAACCATGGGTAAGAGGGTGGGATGATATCAAGAGAAGCCGAGACAGCCCTATTTCCGGAAACCAGTAACCATACCATACCATTTCTTCCCAAAGTAGAAGGTGGTTTCAGAGAATTGCCTTCTTTTGTACCGAGTATAGAATAAATATAATGCATTCATGTGTAAATTATTGTTCTTTGCATGAGTAATGATCATAATTTAAATGAGTGTGAGTGACTATGAAATAAGGGAGAGTTTCCTCTAGATCCATATATTGCTAATATTAAATTTGGCTTTAATATGAGCACTGTCGCATAAATACTTCATGTCAGCATTGTATTTCTATTGATATTATTTCATATACTGTATTGAATTTGATATTTTGCAGATATTTCCATTAATCAGAAAATATCAACATACCTTCCCATTATTATGCTTTACAGTATCTACCAAGATTTCAAAATGATGGAGAACATGAAAGTGGTGTCTTATGTAATACGCCCTTTTTGGTAACCTAACTTTATAAGAGGGTAGTATAGAGAAATGATAAACATGGTGAATGATTTTCATGACAAAGTATCATGAATGACGTGACATATGAGTTGGCTTTTTAAGAGGGAAAATAGGAGAAAGAGAAACTACAAAATATTGTGATTAATAAATATGTGTGTGTGTGTGTCTATATATATATATATATAAAAGTGAAGATCAAGTGGAGTAAGTGTCCAACCACAAGCTATGGTGTAATGTCATGATTAATAATAATAAAAAAAGCTTCCCAACATCTATTCACAATTTTTGTTAGGGATTATGGATACTATGTTGCATAGAATTGGAATCTTCATGGATTCCATTATTGTATGATTGTTTGAGAGAGAGAAAAAGTTAAGCCGATGATTTAGAAAAAGAAAATAAAATAAAATACCAAAGAAGTAACTGAATGATTTTGGGAAAAATAAAATAAATAAAATAAGAGGTATAGGTAAGTTGGGTGGAAGGGAGAAAATAAAATAGATAAGTGGGATGGAAGGGAGAAAATAACGTGATAGTTGGGACCTACAAGAGTTGATCAAAATGAACTTTGGTACTCAAAAAAATAAAAACAAAATGAACTTTGGTACTCAAAAAAATAAAAACGTTGTCGTAGTATCATTCATGATGGAAATTTAGAATTTTGTTTCATGTTGTGTATTATTGTTTTTCGAGTGATAGAAAATGAATTTTCAAATATACCTTTATGTGATGGGTCCACATATTTTTATAACTTTTTAGTCAAGGAGGATAAATTACGGATATTTAAAAAATAGTACATTAAATCTTGAATTGATACAATTATTTTGGAAGTCAAAAAATAGAAATGTGAACGATTTTTATGGGCCGGGGAGTATGTAAATACCCCAAAAAAAAAAAAAGGAAAAAGGAATATGACTATTAATTTAAAAAAAAAAAAAAATGATTGACAAAACACAATGCATTCGTAAGATGCATGTGGTGGACCATAGAGTGGGTGCTTATGAAGACTTGGGTGAGTGTAGCATTGTTGGAAGAAGAATAAGATAGGAGATATAAAGCAAACCTCACAATCCTCATCCTCAATCTCTCTCTCTCTGAATTTTCCTTCAACAAGAATGGCCTCAACATCCAAACCCAACTGTTTCTCTCTCCTCTCTCTTCTCTTTGCACTCTCTCTCTCCTTCCCCTCGATTGCCTCAACCGACCCAATTCCAGCAGCATGGCCACACCAATTCCACTCCCTCATCTTCATGAACAACAGTGGAACCCTCCAAATGGTAGACCTCTGGTACGACTGGACCGGAGGCCGGAACTTCAACATAATCCAGTACCAACTGGGTAAGCTTCTGTACGACCTGGAATGGGACAATGGCACCTCCTATATATACACCCTGGACTCTAACCGGGAATGCAGGGTCTTGAATTTCTCTGTGGGGATTCTCAGACCCAACTGGCTTCAAGGTGCGAACTACCTTGGCCAGCAGTACAGGGATGGCTTTCTTTGCAATGTGTGGGAGAAGGTCGACTTCATTTGGTACTATGAGGATGTCATCACCAAAAGACCTGTTTCATGGATATTCTATACAGGTGTGTGTGTGTTTTGTGTGTTTTTGTGTGTGTGATTTCTTTATACTATATTTTGGTTTGGTCTGTCAACTTCCAAAAAAAAATATTTGGTTTGGTCTGTTACAAGCAATGGGTTGTTCTGTATTTGCCCTTTTCAATTCCCAATTTTTAGTTGTCATCCTAGTTGCCAATAGCAGGGTAGGTTTCACCTTTTTAGGTGACAGTGGTTGCAATTGCCTGAGGCCTCATGTAGAGAAAAAAAATAAAAATAAAAATAAGATGTAAGAGTGCATCTACTACTGTTTAGAGAGAAATTGAAGGAGAAAAATAAATGATGGGAGAAAATGTAGGAAAAAACAAGCAATAAATGAAACACCTTACTTTTATTTTGGGTACATAAGCCCTTTAAGTTTTAAAAAATGAACAAATAAGGATTTAATTAGTATAATATGTCAAGAAATCACATTAAAGTAATCTTGTGCGTTGCACATGCTTATATTCCTAAATTGGTCTTTTGATCTCTCCAGAATGTCCTTATACCGTTTTACATATAAACACAATTTCCCTCTCTTTTTGTTAGCGTGCTTTTGTCATTTTACATTTATTTTGTTTTTCACTTTTTTTTTTTTAAATTCATAAGGGTACTTTAGTCTTTTATTGGATCCACTGAGCATGGACAGCAAACCCTTATTCACGTCAAAAATAAAAATTACAGACTTATAAGAACTGATAGAGAGTTATTTATCTTATTTACATATCACAACAGTGTTTATGGCTCGTGATTTATCTTAACATATTAAATCTTTCAATGATAAGTTTAGCACCTTTTATATTATTATTATTATTATTATATAGTCAGTCTCTTGCTAGAAAAAGGATGAGACTTTTGTCTCCGATTATATGTCATTTCATCAATATACTCTTGGACAAATTAAATAGAAAAATATGATATATGTAACTAATTCCAAATAATTGAAAAAAGTTTGTTGAATTAAGTAGTTCAGTTGATTTGTTATCTATATTTACATATGAAATGTTTCAATTTGTAAAAAAAATTAATAAAGATGTTAAATTCAGCTTCTAATGCTTGAATGAATTTGATTATGATTTTGAAAGACATTGAACTGCAGGATATACAGCACATGTAATGACATTTGAAGTGGGAAGAGTGCTTGAGAATCCGAAATGGCAAGCTCCTGTGTACTGTTTTGAGGAGGCCTACAAGGAGAAGAATTGTTTGGTTGAATCTGCGGCCAACGCTGGTCCTCATGGGGGTTTAATGAGGAGAAAGTATTAAATATACTTGGGGGTATGGCACAGTACGAGCTATTAAATCATGGATGTGATGGTGGGCCCCACCACATTCAAGGGTATGGATTATCACGGAATATCATACCCCTAGGTATTTAATATTTTCTAGTTAAATGAAAAGTGTTATGGATACCTCAAAGAGGTTTTAAATGCAGCTAGAATTGTTCTTAATGTAGTCATGGATAAATCTTAAGACTATTATTATCTAAGGCTCCGATTTGTTTAGAGTGCAAGTAGAAAATTAGACTTTGATGTGGGTAATAATATGTCTTACGGAAAATTTTATGCTTTTAGGCGCAATAAAGAATGTACTTTATATTAATTAAGAGATGAACTGGATCTAAGATAAGGTAAACAAATTATGAGAGCTATCATAACAATTTGCCCATGATCGCTGTTATGGCGAATGACTCTTAAGTATGAGAGAGATATAGACTCTTGTATTGATTAATAGCTGTTTTGATTTATTCGGCCAGACCCATAGAGTCTAATGACAGGTACTTTGAGTTACTATTTATTAATAGTTTCGGAATGTACTCACAAGATTTGTATCAACGCTATCACATTTCTTTTTATTTGATTAATTTGATCACGAGAAATTCAAGGCCTCCGTGGTTTTGACAAAATGATTTTGTATATATTTATTTATTAAATAGATTATTTTATCAAATAATTCTTTACGTGATCAAATTGGAAATAATCAAAGAGTCTAAACAAATGGATTTACCAAGGGTTGTGTAGCGTAATGGTATCTCTTCACATTCTAATGTAGAAGATTGAGGGTTCAAGTCTCCATATTAGTAAAAAGTGGGTGAGTGAGTGTGTGTCTTACCTTGAATAAATAAATAAATAGATTAATTAAGCGGTCTGAATTGATGGCTATTATTATTCGATAGTTAAATTCAGGGATGGACCCGATATTATGTGAGGGGGGCAATGTTAATTTTTTAATACATAAAAAAATAAATAAATAAATTTAAAAACTCTTCTGGTTTTTCTTCTTTAGGAGTTGTATCCTAATCTGAGATAAGAGATTTTCTTCCAAATCTTCCTTTGTTGTTTAATGCCTCAAGCTTCTTTTGGTTTTGACATTGGAGTAAGGATTATTAGCCATATAGTGCCTAATTTACCACAATCATAGCAGATTTGGTTATGTGGCTGAGTCCTCTTCTTGAATCTGAATTTCTTAGCTAAGTAAGCTACTTCATCTTCTTCAAGATCATCATCTTCAGACTTCTGTTTAGTTTCTTCAATCACTTATTTGGCCTTAAAGGGTTACTTCTTTTTTGTGATAGTTTGGAACTCTAATTCTCATCTAATAAACTACGAGTGAGGCTTGGAAATCACCAATCTTCATTTGGGACATATCTTTGTCTTCACGGATAGTGACTTTTGTATTGAACCTTGGAGTTAAGGACTTGAGTATCTTCTTGCAAGCATTTGAGTCATTCACATCTTCACCAAAAGCCTTGATGTTGTTGACAACTTCATTTATTCTGAACAAATAGTCTGAGACAACTTCCCTTTCTTCCATCTTATAGCTTTCATATTAAACTTTCAGTAGCTGTATCTTGTTTTCCTTTATCACATTGTTGCCTTCATGAGCAGCTTTGAGAGAGTCCCACATTTCCATAGCTATTTTACAGTTTTTTATTCTCATGAACTCTTATTACTTGAGAGCATAGAAGAGATCATGTTTTGCTCTTCCGTCATTTGCCAAAGTTGTTTTATCACCAGCTGAAGGATTATCTAGATTGAGAACAACCACACCAATAACAGTGGCAAGCTAGACATTATAGAATTGGGACATGCGAAATGTTTCCATCCTTGTTTTCCATGAATCATAGTTGGAACCATCAAAGTCAGGTGCTTTATTAGTAACTTGACCTTCATTCATCGTACAGGATTTTCTGCTGGTTGGTTAAAACCTCAATAGGCAAACCAAAGCTCTGATACCAATTGATGAACTAAGAGGGGGGGGGGGCGATGGGGGTGGATTGGTTTTCTTACTTAACTTCTTTTCACACTTAGAATGTTTTCAATACACACACAACGCTCAAACATTCAACCACAAGTACACCTGGATGTTACAAGGAAAATCTCTCTCAACTATAGATCAAAAATCTTGGTTCTTGGCCACAGCCAATGTAATCTCCACTAGTTATAATCAAGTAGTTACACATCCAGCTGTCTTATTCTCTACACACACCTTTGTTCAAGATGAAACCTTAGTTTTCACAGCCTCTACACACACACCAGCTCCACTTGGTGCTCAACAACACTCCCTCTATCCTAAGCCCCCCTGCTCCTATGAGCTCTCACAGCTCACCTAATACATATAAAATGATGTATTACAACTATACTCAAGCTATTACATAAGATAAAAGTGAAAATACAGCTTAAAGTATCAACAACAGTAACTACACATCATTATGCAGAATCTGTGGAAAAAGAGCAAAATTGGAATTTCGTACTATTACAGACCTTAAGATGGTTCCCTCAACATTATATCACCATTATATACTTGCTCAAATGATATTCTTAATGGTTCAAGCAAGGTGTATCACAATTACAACTCAATAGGGCTTATCTCAGCTAAAATACTAGTTTAAGAGGGTTCATAAGACCAAAACCTGTTATATATGGTCACTTTGCTGGCCAAAACTCAACTTGCACAGCCTCAAATCATATATATAAGCATGCTTAGATAATAAGGATTCAACTCACAACAATATATCATGTGTATGTGTTTAAATCAGAAGGCTAAACCAGAAAATAAGATGGAGGTTTTAGACATCAAAATGAATTACAACAAGAATATGTGCATGAACAATGATTCTGCAGTTGTCAAATAGTAAAACAAACTTGCCTTAACCTCCGGACACCACTGAATTAACCTCAAGCTTGGAATGAACCTCTGAACCCGCCCTTTGCACTAGAAAAATAGCAACACATAACCTTGTTCATCTTCATCAAGTACTCACTTACACTATATGGATTACTAAAATGATTTGGGTTCACAAATTAGTCTCACAATTGTTCTTAGTGTCTCGAGTGTTTGTCACAATATAGGTCACAAGGATGCTCACAAAGGTGCTCACTCAAAAGCTTAAAGAGCCACAGTTTTATTTTTAATAGTTGATACTCATTCACACACATGTCTCCATGGAGGCTTAAACCCTTGACCTCTATTTGGGAAGTAAGGGCCTGAAAGACATAGTTTTATAACAGGACATAGTGAACCTTGAGCTCAAATACCTACCCTAATAAGGAAAATACACATGGCATCATCTGTCAATGATTGGTCAAAGAATATTCTCACATTCCCTCAGCAAAAATACCAAAATACCCCTTACACAACTCACTGTTTTGTCCACCAGTAAGCATACTATTTGATAGCTTGTATATATATGTATACAACAATATATATCAAGCTTAATCACTAAAAAATGCATAACAAGTCTCAATTTTCTCACACTAGGACCACAGAACACGTGTCACACATTTGTTCATCAATTGTAATGTCCAATTAATATACCCCCGTGAAAGACACTTGTCAATATACACAAAATCATGTAGCTGCAGTTGTGATCACTTAATTAAAGTGCATTTATGAGCAATGCAATACAATGTAGTATCCTAAACGGATGTATAATGACAAAATACATATGAGAAAAGACTTAATTGCCAATGACTCTGTAGCCAAATATCACTTTCTGTAATAGTCCTGTAAACCTTAATTTTCCTGTGATGAGCACTGTTAACAGAATGTACCTTTATCAAGCTATCTCAAGTGATATCGATCTCATGAATTTAAAATGATAATGCTACCCCTGCAAGCCTCTATAATGTACTGAGTATACTAAAGCCACATGAAACTCACATAAATAGACCTGTGACTACTTTTTGACATTTAAAAGGGTAAATCCTAATTCAAAGATGAGACCAACAAAAATAATTAAGTGAAGCATAACAGGTGAATAATTGGAGTGTGATTATCATATCTTAATAATCGGATAAAGAAAAAGTTGACTTAAAGAACATATGTCGAGTAAGAAAAGAAGAAATAAAGAAAAATTGAAAGAGAAACTTGTTGGAAATGGGGGCATTAAAAACATAAACTTTGTATGAGATTTAGAATAGATTCAGCTAAGAATTTTTTGCAGATCTCTAAACGAGCGCGTTTCTCTCTGCAAGGAGATGAACGTGGTATATTTACTTTCTCAAATCCGTTTTCGGGTGAATGAGAAATTAGCTCTAAAGTGCGGTTGTTTGATAAGCCTAAATGGGTATGAAAAATGTGGGAAGTGTTTGCCCCACACGGAAAAAATGTTGAAACCAATTGAAATTTAAATAAGCCAAATTTGGGATTTGGGCTTGGGCTTGGGCTTGGGCTTAAGCTTGGGCCTAATTGTAAAATCCGATTATTCTTTTTACTAAATAGAATTTTGGATTGGGCCTTTATTTTTGGGCTAGGCTTATTTAAATGGGTGGTTGGCTTCTAAATTTAAATTAAAAGTTAGTTTTTTAAAAAAGGTTGCATCTATTTCCAAAGGGTTGCATCTGTTTTCCAAAGAGTTGCATCTGTTTCTAAAGGGTTGCAACTGGTGTTGAACTAACATTACCCATGGTTGCACCCATACCCGAAAAGGCACTTTGCTTCATATAAATACCCCCATTTGGGATCATTTGCTATCACACCAATTCAGAAAATCATTCTTCTCTTTCTAAATTATCTTCTTCCTTCTTTCTTCTTTTATAATTGTATGTGCGTTCGAGCTCTAGTCTGTGGGTTTGAGCCTTAGTCAGTGTGTTCGAGTCCAACTTCGAGTCAGAGAGTACTACACCAAGCCGGTTCACCTATTCATTTGGTTTGCAGTGTTATTACCGAAGGAAGACAGTCGTTGTATCCTGGGAGATAGACGCCACTGAGTCCGTTAGCATCATAGCGGGGCGAATCTGTCTTAAAAACATAGAATCAAATTCTAGTCTTGACTTTTAATCAGGTTCCTTTATTTATAGTTTTTTATTTTATTATATTAAACTATATATTATAAGTAATTATATATATAGATTATTATTTTATAATACTTATATATATATATAAACATTATATTTTTACATATTATTTAAATAAATAGTACTATAGTATATGGTATACTTAGATAATATTTTGGACAACAATCTTAAGACAAATTCCACTTTATTATAGTATTAATTATTTA